ACTACTCGCTCATGTGAGCGAACTTGGGATGTCTCGCCTACTACTTTGCCTTTATTGTGAAGGCTTGCTTGGCCGTGACGTCTGTCTATCGAGCGGACTGGACGTGGCTCGCTTGATGTCGGCGGTCCGTCTGTTTGAGCAGACCCGCCTGAGTTGGGCAGTCTATTCGCTTCAGGGATGTGACCTGAGAAGAGAAATCCGCCTGTTTTGGCGAGCCCGCCTGGAGCATTGGATTCGACAGAATGGGAGATGTTGCAGTCAGGGCGAATCCCACCTGAGCGCGAGAGTTCACCTGGTTTGGTGATCTCTTCAGCCTTGGAAGGGCTGAGTCTCCGCCTCGCGTCTTTTAGACCCGAATAATAATTCAGGCCATCATACGAGGTGAAGGTTTGAGCCTTCTACCGTGTGAGGAGCTTTTGTCGCCGCTGCCGGGCTCTTCTTGAGAGAGGAGCGTCTGGACGGATCATGTCGGCTTGGTTCGTGCCAAAGCAAACCTCCGTTTCCTCTTGGGCGGAGGTTTGCGAGGGTCGTTTGGCGACCCATTTGGTGATATTTCGCCCAATGTTCCCAACCTTCGGCTTGGCCATGATCGATTTTAGGGAAGTTTGACCCCTTGTCATGATTCGGATGGGGTCCTCGAGCGCGGGGACTTTGACCGTTTGAGGGATGTTTGCGGGACACATCGCCACCAGAGGAGGAGGAGGACAAGTACTCTTGTATTTGGCCTGGTCGAACTCGATTTCTAGGGACTCCACAGTTATCCCGACAAGAACCTCGTCGAATTGAGCTACCACCATTTCTGTTGAGGAAACAGCTTCTCCTACTGTGGTCGCCATCTTCTGTAGGTGTAAATTTTGATTTCCCAAAACGAGGGTATTGTTTGTATTGATAAGAATAGCTTATTATAAACTAATGAATCGAAATTATAACAGAAGCAGAGGGAAGGCCCTCCTTGTTTAACGTGGGGACTTTGGTAGCGATAGGACGCCTCGCTCGGTTCTCACACCAAGTCTGCTTCCCTTGGACGATTCGATCGAGTTTGCTGGTAAGCTTCAGTGCGCAGTAGGAGCTCGTGCTAGTCGAGTTCGAGTTTCCGAGTTCGATGGCGATCAGGGCCCGAAGCTAGGAGAGGATGCTATAGTGCAAAGGTCATGCAAAGAGCTTGTCATCAACTCCGTCGAGAGTTGATAGCTAGTGGTTCAGCTAACTGATTGAATTAATCAATTAACTATGAACGAACCTCTTTTCTATAGCCAGGAGATGTTCTTAAATAGAGGAGAGACGGCGTGGTCACTCCTTGAATCATGGGATATGACCATGTACTGTTGGGAGATACCATGCTTCTCACTTGTACTGTGAGCGGTAGTTTGAGGGGCTCAAAGCACTGTACTCTCTCTCTTTCACGTCGCGGGAGCGGGAAGGCCCATCCCTGTACGTGACATTGCGGCTGCCAGATATCTTGGTGAGTTTGGCGAGCTTGCCAACCGACGGGCTTGACTCGTGCAGGCGAGTCAGGTATGCAGGCGAGTCCCACGAACTCAACTCGTGCAAGCGAGCCGAGCATGCAGGCGAGTCTAGCAACACAGTGGATTTGACCAGTCACTTGTACTGTGGACGAACACTTGATGGGCTTGGAGTACCTACGCTCCTTCCCTTCACGTCGCGAGAAGCAGGAAGACCTATCCATGTACGTGGTATAGCGGCTGCCAAGTACTCTGGTGAGTTTGGCGAGCTTACCATTTGTAGGCGAGTTCGACTCTTGACTCACGCAGGCGAGTCGAGTAAGCAGGCGAATTTCAGTCACGAGCATGCAGGCGGACTTGGCGATTACATGGATTTGACTGGTCGCTCGTACTGTGAGCGGCTACTTGATGGTCTCGGAGTACTGCGCTCCTTCCCTTCATGTCGTGGGAAGCGGGAAGGCCCATCACTGTACGTGATACTACGGCTGCTTGGTACTCGAGCGAGTCTGACAAGTCTGTCGATTGCTTGGCGACTTGCTTGGGTGCATGGGTGAATCCGACTCCTGATTCCCCAGGCGAGTCAAACGTGCAGGCGAGATTTTGATCTCCTGGCGGATCACCCAGTTGAGCGGGAGAACTTCGTCCGTGTGTAGGCTCGACTAATACAAGCGAGATTCAGTCTCTCTGGAGGTTAAGGCAAATTTTATCCTCTACACAAAGCTCTTTTTTTAATTAGATCTATTATGTCTTAAGCGATAGTGGTGATGGTGATGAGAGCCAAATCTCCTGTACAATGCTTTAGGAATACATTTCATTCTATCGGATATAAAAGTAATTTTCCTAGGAGGCAACACATTAAAAATATATAATTGAATGTAGGAAAAAAAAACTACTCCTAATTTTCACTGTTCTCAACCTCCACAATTGTGAAGTCCAAAGGAAATAAGTCACCATCTGCATCTACTCTTATAGCAACAGGAAATACACCCTTATATTTACCATATAAATGTGTGTCATTAATGCTAAGAACCAGCCGACAAAATTTAAATCCCTCAATTGAAGGACCAAATACCCAAAATACAGAGGTGAATTGATAAACTCCCAGATTGATCTCTTTGGTTATGAGTTTGTAATCAGATCCAGGATTGCTTCTTTTGATCACATCAAGATATTGACATAGTGTTGCGTAAGACTTCTCCCAATCACCAAATATTTTATCATCGCAACTCTCTTTGCATTCCATGCTTTACTATATAATATTTCAATGAACTTCATATCTAGCACTCTCTCAGTTATATTACCGGGAGTTAGTTCAAGCTTCTTCTTTAATTTTGGCATAATCAACCGTGCTATGTAAGAGACAGATGCACCATTGTGATCCTGCTCTAATATCAGATTGGTACATGTGTGAACACCGTAGTATTTAGTGATCTTAAAATTCCCATTATGTTTCTTTACAGCAAATGCATATAACTTCCAAGGACACGCGTAATCAGTTTCATTTCCCTCGGCCTGACCTTTCCTTTGTGTATTCATAAAATATATTGGATCTTAACTTGTGCCATAGCTTTTAACTTACTTTAATTTGACATTCTTTTTGAGTAAGTAATTACGAATAGCATCAACCAATTGGTCATTGGTCTTGAATAAATCTCCAACTCTGAAAGGGATGTCATCATCTTTTCTATGAGTTGAACTTTGGCCAATGCATATATCTTGTACTGTGGAAGAACGAATCCACTCATCATCTTCAAACTCGTCGGGGGGTGGTTCTTCGTACTCAACATATTCATTATTAACATAAGCCTCATAAGGCTTATCCGGATTCTCTTCAACATCTTCAGTCACAAATTACAATTATCAATTGGTGCACTATCTTTCTCTTCACCTTTAGAGTCATTGCTTATTTCATCCTCTTTAATTGTTGCCCCTCTTAACGGCCTCATATTTTCATAAGGGACTTCATTGTTCATGATATTTTATGTTCCCCTGAATGAAGGTACACTTAGATATTGAAATTGAGTCCGCTTCATTTCACTCGAAGAAGAAAGAAAACTATCAGACTCAACTCCCAAATCTAACGTGCGTAAGAATTCTCCTGGAGGTTTGAATATTTGGCACAAACTATATGGCAACTTTTCAATAAACAATTCTACCGTTGGTTGTGACTTGCTCAAATTACACATAATACTAATATGATGATCGTTTAAGATCACAACTACGGATGTTCTATCAAAAATTATGGGCCAATTGCATATTATTTTTAGTCGGTACTCTCGTGGGTCAATTTTCGTAACTCGGTGTAATTCCTTAATTAAGGCATAGTAAGATCATAAATGGCGTCATTATCCCTCCGATGTACATTGGCATATTATTCATTCCATAATTAATTTTCCCACCATAAGAGCAAGCAATAAAAATTATATTGTCCAACATATGCAAAAAAAAATTTATATCATTTAAATGCAAAAAATAAAAAGGTTTATCAGGGCATTGAATAAGAGAGGAAAACTCAAGATGCAAATAATCTCATATAATTTTGATCAAAAACCCTAAACCCCAAAATAAAAATCCTAAACCCTAGAAATGAACATTCTATGCTCTAAAAGTTTAATTTCAATTACAACAATCAACACAAAAAGCATTCGAACCACCACAAATATAATGATTGATAATATATTTCAAACCCTAGAAAATTGGATATTGATAGAAAACCCTAGATTTTTACATTTTAAAAGAGGAGAGAAGGAAGAGAAATTACCCTAGAGATCTTAAGCAAACTTTCACGACGAAATTCGACTATAAAATGGAGTTGGGAGAAGTGGGAAGGTGGCTGAACGAGAGAGACCGAAGTTGGAGAGGAGAAAATCCCGATTTGGGGGAAGAAATGGGTTCGGTCAGTATATATAATGGGGAGGGGACCCACCAGAAATAGTCGGGGTTGGCAACCCCGACTATTTCATGACTTAGTCCCTCCCCCATTTTCGGGTTGGGGGTTATTGCGAGTCTCTGGTAAATGGTCAGAGTTGGGAACCCCAACCCTGCCCAACCCCAACCATTGGGACTTGGCGCATCGAAATGGTCGGGGTTTCCTACCCCGACCATTTTGTGCTATCACAAAATTAGTTGGGGTTTTAAACCCCGACTTGTTTAGCTACCTAACCATGAGAGGGCTGCAGGCGAGGTCCTAATTAGTCGGGGTCGGGGTTGACAACCCTGACTAATTAGGACCGTGATTTTCTTTAAAATGACCCACTTTCTAGTCACGAAGCTGACGTGACGAGAAAGTTGGTCGATTTTGATAAATAAGTTTGGATACGATCGATTTTGGGATTAAAATTTTGAATAGGTTTATTTTAAAATTTTCTTTCTTTTTCAAATCGAGGTATCGGAACAGAAAGATTTGAGATGAAATTAGAATGAGATAAACATGATGGGTTTTGAAAGAGGCATTTTCGGTTTTTTTTTTTTAAGATAGCAATATATGGAGTTATGAGCGTATTTAACACAGGATAAAATACTGGTGTAATCGAACATAAAAGACCAAGAAGTATCTCTCTCTTGGTTCTCGCTTATCCTGTTCTCAGTCGGATCCACATCCCAAATCCTCCTAATCCTCCCGACGATGGGCACTTGTGCCGCAACTGGTCTCGTTCTTCCTCGCTCTCCTACCATCTCTTCCTCATCTCTCCACGTTAATCTCAAACGACTTCAATTGCTCATCCCTTCTTCTCCTTCTCCAGTATTTTCTTTTCCTGCCTCGTCCTCATCGTTATCTTTAGTGGGAGGAGCATTAACATTTTGCAAGACCCTCCCCTCTCGGCATCATTCTTCTCCTTCTCGTCTTTTCTATTGCTCTTCCCCCTCTCCCCTCCAGGCTTCTCCTTCTTCCTCCTCGGTCGACTTCAAGCAACAACACCGAGACGACGACGACGACAATGATGTTTACAAATCCCCAATAGGAGGAGATGATGATGATTATGAGGGTGGGACATCTAAAAACCCTGACCCAAACCTCAAAAAAGAAGAGGAGGAAGAAGATTCGAAAGAGGAGCTAGTAGTGCTTCCGAGACTTGAGACCCCGAAGCTGAGCGTGAAAGAGAAGAAAGAACTGGCCTCATTCGCCCACAGCCTGGGAAAGAAGCTCAAATCCCAACAGGTGGGCAAATCCGGCGTCACCCCGTCCGTTGCCGCCGCCTTCCTCGAAAACCTCGAGTCCAACGAGCTCTTAAAGGTGTGTACGGTTCTGCTTCCTTCTTCTTCCCTTATCCACTGACCAATTCACCTCCGCTTAACTTTATTTAGGCGTTTCCCATTTCAACTCTTCATTCGCCCATTTAAGCAAATAGATAACTGGCGCCTCGTGGGTCATTGAGAGAAAAAGAATCTGATGAAGAAAAAAAAAAAAAAGAATAAGCTTGTCTTTGACGATATCATAATTGATTTAATGTATCACAAAAGATAGATTTTCAGTTGATTAATTGATCTAATTTACATGTCATCATGATTTATTGTTGACTGGTAATCTAGTCTGATCATGATGAAAGTAGTTTTAACGTTTAATCTCTTGATCTTATCATATTGTTTGATAAAAACCAAAAAAATAAAAACCAAGAAGAACAAAGAGGATTTAAGGTCTCCATCGGGTCGGCATCACTGTACTGCTGTGGCCATCGACGACAGTAAAAAGTGTAGGGGGTGCAAGGTGGTTACGAAAATAGAAACATCCTTGAAAACCACCTAACCCCTTGGTGAGCAACCCTTCATACATCTTGAGCTTCCTCACTTGATCACCTACGAACCCTTCATTAAGGCCTTGAAGTTCGATTCTTTGTGGGTGGGTGGGGGGCACATATATGACTAAATGTTGTATGCAATCCTTGTATCTAAGGGGTTCTAGTGTGGTCTGGATTCTTAACGATGACCAGGTTGTTCATCCTTTTCGTCTTGGAGGTCCTAGTGGTCTCAACTTGAAGCATGCTCTCTGCATACTCCTTCAACTGTCACCTCCTACCAGCCAATCGGACAGCAACAGTTGTTTCGACCCTCACAGGCCCGTCCTTAGGTTTATCCTTGAACTTCTTGATCTCCTCCGAGTGTATCCCCTCTCTCTCTCTCTCTCATGTTTTTCTTGTAGTTGAGCTGTACTGTTCTGCTCCATTTCCCTTGAACCCGGTTTAGGTAGATTATCTGGGGTAGGCTTCTTAATTTCCTTGAGGTGCCAGGAGTCTATGGTGTTGTAACCTTGGGCTTCATGAAACCCGACTATTTTGCCCAGGCTTTCCACCTCTATTGTTTAGGGGAGGAGGTATATAATACAACTGCTTTTCCAACAATGGAGTCTCACTTAGTAGCATTCCGGGGAGTATTTTCAAACCTGATTTGTCGTAAGATTAATAACCCAGGCACCTTCGTAGAAACAAACCTGAATACAGACACCACAATCTAAAAAAACTTGCAGGAGTTTAAGGCAATCATACACATAATATGTTCTGACTGAGTTATTTTAAAAGAATTAGCTGTTAATGTTGCTTGCAAAACTTATCTACATTGGTTCTACATACCTTTTTACCTTCTTTTTTTCAGCAATTGGGAGTCTATCTGCCTTCTTATATTCATGTCAGAAGAGCCTCCCGATGAATTTCTCAAAAAATGCTGCTTTCTGAAATAGAATGGTTTTCCACTGAATTATAAATTTGGCTACGTTTTCTTGATTTCTATGCACTTTATGACTGTTTAGCCTCTTAGCTGACTTGTGGTAGCTTGTGTTTCATCACAATGACTTCTTACTGACCTGTGCCACTGCCTATGCCAAATTCTACTTTCTTGCAAGTTTGACACTGGGCTTTCCTTTTACCATCTGGTCCAATATATTTTGCCAAATAGCTCCAGGCTACAAAAATGGTAGCTCTAGACCTTTTAAAAATAGTTGACGGTGGTCGTGTTCCGGGAGCTTGTGTTTCAGGAACTCATTGTTATGGTGTATGATGTTGTTGATGTTCAAGAATAAATGGAAATTGTAATGGTGCATGCAAAGGTGCAGAGAATTATTGCCACTCAACATGTGAAAGTTAAAAAGAAGTTGTAGAACTACCCCACGGATGTTTTGAGTATGCAGAATAAGTGAAAGGTACAGTACCTTTGGGGTCTCAAATATACCAGTGGCAGAGGAATTATAGTATGGTACACTACCGATTGGTGTGCATTCGCTACCACTAGCACCAACACCATCATAATAATAAGTGGGCAAAATGTATAGTGAGTTATTGCTTCCATTTGCATCAGTATAGTATCCAGAGAATGAGCGAGGTTCCATGTTGTGAGAGTAGACGCCTGAGAATATTAGCCTGTTAAAGAGTATTTGACAGAGTATGAGTAAAGGAAGTAGAGGGAATTAAACATTGGGGGTTGAGAGTCGTGTGAGGAATGAGGGTTTTGGGGTTATTTTATAGACTTTTGGGCCTAATGAGTTAAAGAAAAGGCTTTTAATGAGGAACCTAAAGCGAATCAAATTCCCCAATGGCTCACCCATCGGGGTGTAACACGTGGCTTGGGGTTGCTTTTTTTTTTTACCCAGGCTGGGCTATCAGGCTACTACACCTTGTCAAAACGCCTCGTGGCCCCTACATCCAAGCAGGCCAGATTCATCAAAGCCGGCCTGAGTTTGTATTGTCCAGCCAGACGAGCCGTGACGAGCAGAAAGCAGGACCCTGGCCTAAGTAACACACTTGACTTCTAGTTCTCCTCTATCCAATAATTTGTTTTTCTTAAATCACTTCTCTTAACTGGTGCATTTAATGCCTCCATTGTGCTTGACCAAACCATCTCAAATAGTATTCTCCTATCCTCAATATGAGAACCCTGCGACTTCCATTTAATGCACTAATTTTTTGTTCCATCTATTAGTGTATATTCACTTGTCCATCTTTACACTTTTTTGTAAATATTTCTTAATTGCCCAGCATTCTAATCTATAAAGCATTGTGAGTCTCATAGTTATTCTATGGAGTTAATTCCTTCCATTTCAAAGTTATTCTACGATGGCATAGGATTATGAAAGCACTCCTCCGCTTAACCATCCTGATTTGATTCGATGAATCACATCATCCTTAATCTTGCCGCCTTGATAAGTAACTGTTCTTAAGTAGCAAAAACAATTACTCCTAGGTTAACCGAGGCAATAATACTGTTATTCTTTTCACAATTTTACTAAAATTGCATTTCATGGGTTTTGTTTTTGTTCTGTTTAACTCTAAATCCTTTAGGTTCGAGAACTTCTATCCATTTTTTTACTTCTCGAATAACACCTTCCCTAGCTTCAGTCTGTTAAATTACACGTGCAATATGTATATGTAAAGTTTGTAGTTCTTATACAAGTCTTAACACTATCTGAACGTGCTTCAATGCTTGTTTTGTTTACTCAAGCAGCTCAAAATTCATGGAAGTTGCCCAGACGAGCTCATTGATGCGATTAAAAAACTTGAGGAAGCAACTGGGTCAGTAGCTGTTGATCAGATTGGGCGAACTGTGATATTGTATAGGCCCAGCCTAAGCAAGATGAAAAAGAGAGCAGCTGTAAGTCAACGAAAGCCGAAGGAACATGTTACCTTCAAGTTTCAGAAGAAAGGGGAATCACCCGCTAGAGTTTCTGGTGAGAAGCGCCATCAGTTCCGCCGGTCCTGAGATAGTTTGTGGTGCACCGCACTGCTTCATCTTCATTTTTGAACTCTTAATTTCCGAGATGCGGAGTCAGACGACATTGGTTAGTGCAAATTGAGGTCAATATGCTGTTGTATCAATAGTTTTGACTTCCCTTGTTGTCCTATAATCCCGGTCCATCATAAATTGTCATGTAGGGGAAAGGGGGAATTTTTTTTTTAATATATCATTAAGGAAGTTGGAAATTGGATAAATGGTATCCAACACACACAGATTTGGCTAAATCCTCTTGTAGATGTAGATCCCAGAATTTCCTTTGGCTAACATGTTCTTATTCTTTTGTGAATGGGAGTTTTAAAGCTAGCGTGCCTAAGTTCTTTTCCTTGTTATTTGTTGAATATGACCGTTTTTTCTGTGGTGAATTGAGCTAGTCATTGGTAGGGCCTCTGCTTATGATACTTTTTAATGTTTGCTTTATTGTTGATGTTGTATTCTAATGGGATTAGTAATGCACGATGACTTTTTAGTATCCATTTTCTGAATAAACTTCCCAAAAAAGAAAGGAGAATTTGGAGTCTTTTCCTAATAAAACTTCTCAAAACGTTTTGTGGATGCTCCATCAGATACGTGCTCGAAAGCCATGAATATACTATAATCAACTATTTTGGGTGTTTTTCGTCATTTCCAGACAATGACCGGTAGAAAACGACGTCGAATTGTTCAAAATGTTGGAAAACGTGAAAATTCAGGAGCCACAGGTGTAGTGCGTGCCACACCCAGGTGTGGTAGAAACTCTCTGCTACAATTCGTTGTCAGGGATGTAGTGCGTGTCACACCCAGGTGTGGCAGCAGTTGTCTGCTATAATTCGTTGTAAGGGGTGTAGTATGTGCCACACTCGGGTGTGGCAGACGCGTTTTCTGATTCCCAGCTTGTTCTGGATTGTGTTTTGTTATAAATAGAAACACGTCTTTCTAGGGTTTAGGAGAAGAGATAATCAGAGAAAATTGGTTCTTTTGAGCACTTTGAGAGGGATATTATTGTGAGGGAGCGTGAGATCATTGGTTGGGTTATTTTGAGAGTTGTTTGAGAGATTGTAACCCATTGTTTCTCCTCCATATAGTGAAATCTTTCACATCCTCTCCCCATGGACGTAGGTAATTTGCCGAGCCACGTAATTCTCTGTGTTTGTGTGATGTTGGTTGTTATTTTGTGAATTGCACTCATGTTTGGCTCTTATCTCATCGATCGCCGACTCGTTTGGTTTGCGAGCACGCTAGCGTGCGACAAGTGGTATCAGAGTTTAGATTTGCAGATCTAGGGTTTTGCATTGGGTGGAGAAAGGCTCGATGTTGGAAGCTTGGATCTTGGAGATCTAGGCTTCAGTGGATATAGCGCTGCAGAGTTGCGGTTGGAGATCTCGCTTTCTTCGTGTGGCTAGGAGATCGTGTTGGAACCCTATTTAGGTTTAGTTGGGTAATTTTTCAATTCTATCAAGTTCAAATATTTCTTTACAATTTGGAGTTTGCAAGCAATGGGAGAAGAAGTTGGTAAAAACAGCAAGGCGGTGACGAGTATAGTTCATGTTGCACTTCAAAATATGAAGATCAGTGTTGTGAAGTATGACAGCAAGATCAACTTTGGTTTGTGGATGAGTGGTGTGCAAGATGCACTGAATGCTCAAAAATTTGGAAGAGACCATCATGGTCTATGAGAGGCCACCGAAGTATGATGAGACGGTATGGGACAATATGAACCGAATCGCTTGTGGGGGTAATTAGATCTTGTTTGGAATAAGAATTAAAGTATGATGTGATTGGTGTAAGTCTGCGATGAAGATCGATGTGGGAGATTCTCAACAATAAGCACATTACGAAGAGTCTTGAGAACCGTTTGCACTTGCTGTGAAGATTGTTTAGATTCCAGGTGTCTAGTGGTACCTCACTTGTGGATCATGTGAACAACTATACAAAGTTATTGTCCGACTTGGCGAACATTGATGAGAAGATAACGGATGAGTACAATGTGATTATTTTGTTAGGCTCCTTACCCGATGAGGAGTATGATACATGCATGCTCACTTTGTTGAACAGTAGATCTTCCATCACTTATAATGAAGTGACTAATGCGTTGACGAATTACGATCTAAGGAGGAAGGACAAAGAGACTTCCAGAGTTAGCACTTCAGTAGAGGCCTTGTCGACGAGAGGAATGAGTTCCTATCCGAGAGGTGATAATCGAAGCAGATCAAAATCAAGGGGCCACTACCAATTAGCAAAGAACCAGTGTGCTTTCAGCAAAGAACAATGACATTGAAAGAGAGATTGCCTGAAGCTCAAAGAGAAGGAGAATAGCAAGAAGAAGGGTCCGAAGGCCAATGAGGTGAATGTTGCTAAAAGTGGTAACGATTCCGATGATTCATGCTTTTCTCTATTGAGTACTCCAGAGGTTAACCATGGGGATGCATCGGATTGGATGTCGGATTATGGTGCTACTTATCATATGACTCCCCGGAGAGATTGGTTTGCATCTTTCGAGAAGCTCAATGGGGACGTGGTAGTCATGAGAAATGATCAATCATGTGGTATTTGTGGGATAGGTACCATCAGGATTCGGATACACGATGGAGTTGTTTGAGAGCTGAATTAAGTGAGATTTGTTCCTCAGTTGAAGAAGAATCTTATTTTCGTTAGGGCTTTGGCGGCAAAGGGATTCAAGGTGACTTTTGAGAACGCTGTAACAAAAGTTACTAATGGATCTTTGATAGTAATGAAGGGAGTACGTAGTAGGAATCTTTATTATCTAAAGGGGAGCACCGAGATTGGCCAGGTAGCTTCAGTTGGTTCAGAGGTGGACGCGAGCAGACTTTGGCACTACAGATTGGGGGCACACAGGTAAAAAATCACTACAGACGTTGTGCAAGGAGGGACTATTAAAGGGAGCCAAGAGTAGGAAGATTGAATTCCGTGAGCACTGTGTTCTTGGCAAGAAGACAAAGGTGAAGTTTTGGACAACCATACATAGGACGACGAGCATCTTGGACTACGTGCACACGGATGTTAAGGGTCCTACCAAGACGGCATCACTTGGTGGTCGATATTGGTTCGTCACTTTTGTAGATAACTATTCTAGGCGTTGTTGGGTGTGCACCATGAAGCATAAGAATGAAGCCCTGGAGTTATTTGTGGAGTGGAAGAGGAGATTAGAACTGCAGACTGGGAGAAAGATCAAGACGTTAAGATCTGATAATAGCGGCGAGTACACTTCAGACCCCTTTTAGCAGCTATGTCGAGACGATGGCATAGAGAGACACTTCACAGTAAGTCATACGCCGTAGCAGAATGGGGTGGCAGAGAGATTGAATAGGTCTTTACTAAAAAAGGTTCGATGTTTATTATCGCAGAGTGGTTTGGAGAAGATCTTTTGGGCTGATGCACTTTCATATGCGAGCCACCTCATTAATAGGCTACCTTCATCTGTGATTGAGGGAAAAACCCCTATGGAGATGTGGTCGGGAGAGCTAGCACATGACTATGATCAGCTCAAGTTATTTGGGTGCCCTGTATTTTATCATGTGAAGACTAATAAATTAGAACCTCGAGCTAGAAAGGTCATATTTGTTGGATTCAAGCGTGATGTGAAAGGATACAATCTTTGGATCCAGTTAATATAAACATTGTGCTAAGTAGAGATATCACTTTCGATGAGGCTATAGGCAATGAAAATTGCTTTTACGCAAGAGGGCTCTAACCTTGTCTGTTTGAGTTCGCTTGCGTGCTCAACGCAAGAAAAAGGCCAAGCAGAGCTCGCCTGCATTGCTTGTCAGCACAAGTCAAGCTCGCCTGCATTCAAAAGGCCAAGCAGAGCTCGCCTTCAAGCTAAATCTTGCCAACACGCAAAGCTCGCCCGCAAGCCAAAGCTCGCTTGTTTGCTTGACTTACCAGCACAAGCAAAGCTCTCCTGCATTCAAGAGGCCAAGCCAAGCTAACCTATTTGCTTGGCTCGCTTGCACATGCCAGCCTCGACCTCGCCTGTTTGCTTGACTCGCCAGCACGAGTCAAGCTCGCTTGATTATTGAGCTTGTCAGCATGCGCTTGACCTCCCCTGAACACTTTGCTCACCCGCACGAGTCAAGCTCACCTGCAGTGAGTTCGCCCGCACGAACTCAGCTTGCCAACGAATGCCAGTTCACACGCTCGAGGGGCCCGCCAGCCAACCCCACCTATTCTCCAATCTCGCCTGCAAGCTTGCTTGAATGTTCAAGTAGCTCTCAAGCTCGCCTACAAGCTTGTCAGCTTCGTTTGAACAGTGCAAGTGGTTGCTTGCTTGTGGGAGTGGGCCTACCCACTTCCCACATCCAAGGTAATGAGGCATGGCTCCCATCACCCCTATAGTGGTCACATCTCATAGATATAAGAGGAGTATGCTACTTCTTACTCCTATTAGTGGTCACATCCCACAAATCAAGGGATGACCCATGCCATCCCTTGCCTATTTATAGGACCCCTTTGCCAATATGAAAGGGGTTTAGCTGGTTCGGTTCGGCTGGCTATATTTTTCAAAATGGCTGAGCATTTTAAGACTTCAAACAGAGGTCTTCATTGGCTTGCTTGGTAGAACCTTCTTGGCCTTTTGCTTGGATTGTTGAAGTATATTCAATCTGAACTCTCAGATTTGAGACTCTTAGCTTTGTGCAAACTATTGCATATTAGCCTTCTCTAAGCATTCAGCCTTTATACTCATCAAGTTCGGGTATTTATCAAACTCAATCACACAAGAGATTCTATTGCGTACTAAAGCTCAACCACAACTTTGATCGAATCGTCCAAGGGAAGCAAACTTGACGCAAGCATTCGAGGGAGACATTCTATCGCTACCGAAGAACCCACGTTAAACAAGAAGAGCATTCTCTTCGCCTCTGTTGTAATCTGATTCCTGACTTGTAATAAGCTATTTTTATCAATAAAAATCTTCTTTGGAGAATCATTTTTACACCAAACAAAAGATGAAGCTCGCTTGTTTGCTTGACTTACCAGCACAAGCAAAGCTCTCCTGCATTCAAGAGGCCAAGCCAAGCTAACCTATTTGCTTGGCTCGCTTGCACATGCCAGCCTCGACCTCGCCTGTTTGCTTGACTCGCCAGCACGAGTCAAGCTCGCTTGATTATTGAGCTTGTCAGCATGCGCTTGACCTCCCCTGAACACTTTGCTCACCCGCACGAGTCAAGCTCACCTGCAGTGAGTTCGCCCGCACGAACTCAGCTTGCCAACGAATGCCAGTTCACACGCTCGAGGGGCCCGCCAGCCAACCCCACCTATTCTCCAATCTCGCCTGCAAGCTTGCTTGAATGTTCAAGTAGCTCTCA